AACCGCCAAGAAGGAGGAGCTGTTCGTGGTAGCAGACCACGAACGTCGCCCGGCTTACACGAAAGCCGCCCGGCTTTCACCTTCTGTCCAGACTTTTCACTCTTGATCGGTTTAGAACGGGGATCGATCGAAGGGCTTATCAAAGGCAACTAATCCAGCACTTCATAAGGTGAGGATGGCTGACTATGTTGTTTATAATCTTTGGGTTAATTTCGTAAGATTACCTAAAGTAATTAAATGTTATTTTCATGGATTATTAATGATTAATAATGCCTAAATGAAAATATTGTTGTCAATGAATAAAGGAGCATAATATACAAATTTAAGGATAAATTGTGTATGATTATGTAATATGAGCATATTGGCTTGATGAAGGGATTAACTATGAATATTATGTTGAAATATAATTTTAACTTCATATAAGGATATATGAGTGATTAAAGATTATATTTTGTATATTGATATGAACTATATTTTCAATGGAAAATTAGTTTGAGAATTGTCTATATGACTATGAACTGAAATGAGATTTTGTTGGGATTCATCCGACTAGTATAAAGATACTAGTCGGGGTTTTGGAATGAAATATGTTAGAATTGATCCAAGGTTTGGATTGTAAATTGTTGAGCCTTAAGTAGTCTTAAGAGATACTAAGGTGGATAAGTGATGCTAGGGGTAGTCCTTAAGGGATACCCAAGATAAAGTGAATAATAAATTGATCCTAGGAATAGGATTGGCCTACGGGTGTATTCGGTAGTCTTTAAGGATTAGCCGATAGAGTATTGGTAATTAGTAAGGACCATGGCCCTTCCCGACTCTAGAGAGCGGGGTTGGATAGCATGGACTTACATCGTGATCACGGGTTAGGGTGGAATCCGAACCGGAGACCTTACGAGGCTCCCGACAGCGGTAACACATAAGATAGGACCCCGAATGGACCTTACCTTCCTACGGGATGATGGGTATGAGTTCAGGGGCGGGATGTTGGACTCCGGCCCGAGAGCCCGGGAAGGCCTCGGAGAGCGGTGACAAGTCTCGTAAAGGATGATAAGACCTACGGGCGGTGTCGTGCTAACGACGGGTATAATGAAATATATGAAATGGGCCGTGTGCCGACAAATAAATAAATTTACTTATTATAGAAATAATAAGTGGGAAATATAAATTATTATTTATATTATGATATCACCCTATTTTGAGGGTCTTAGAAATTAAAACGTTGATTATACTTGGTATAGTTGTCATTGTACTTGTCAAATGCTTCCAAGTACTGACCTCCCCTTCACGGGGGAGGCCACCTCACAGTTTCAGGTAGGGAGTAGAGCTTGCTACCAGTGCCCGTTGCCTCGGGAAGATCTAGGAAGGAAGACGTGGTTCGTGCTTCCTCCGTCCCTGTTTTAAAAACATTTAAATTAATGCTCATGGATATTATTTTGAATAATTATTTGGGGCTTGTACGCCCATGTTGCCGAAGTGTGGCATAAACACTTGTATTAAACGTTTCCGCTGATTTAAATGATTATTTTACATTATGTTGTTTATGGATGTACTATTGTGAATGATATTCAAGACGCCTAGTATAGTATGGATGAGTTGGACTGCGGTTGACTATTCGTACTGTACGGCGGGTTGTTGACGTGTCCGGTAGGTCCGGGGCGTGACATATTCTATTTAGAACACATTGATTAAGTTATTAACTCGACAAAAAGTTGAAATCTTGAAAATATAAAATGGCCTGTCAAACATGGTGAAGTGTGTGGGACAGTTTACCGATAATAGATTTGCACATCATTTGAATTTTTTTTAATTTTGTGCTTCCAACACATAATATCTCGTTAATAAATATTTTTGAATGGGGTGTGAAGTCAAATAATCTTTAAGTACAATGAAGCGCAAAGTCCATTTTTTTAAAATGAGTTGCAAAACCCAATATCACCTAATACATTATTCCAATTCACCCAAATTTTAAAGTGACGATCATCGTCGATTCAATTCTGATTCTGTTGAGAACCAAGAATATGCCTACGTACCTAGAGCTCTAGTTCGAATTTAAATGATCTAGTTGAACTTTCGGGCCTTTTTAAAAGCTTTTTGTAGTTGTGTGGATTTAAATTTAGGTGGAGGTAATCTTGTAAATGGAAATGTTTTATTTTATTTTATTTGTCAATTTCTTTAAAATGAGACAAGTAATAAAGTATAGTCCCAAAAAAGTGTGACACGTAAATTTGAACATAGCTACTAAGCTACATATCACTAAAATGCAGTTATATGAAAAGTGTAGGACGGTCATTTTTATATAAAAGTGTAATAATACGGAGTATGAGATCATGAGATATAATCCTAATTTTTTAGACTAAAATCCACATATGAGAAGAGATGTTATACACTCAGATTGCTTTCTTGAATCGGTTTATTATGATAAATTGATGAACAAGTTATTTATGTTGTAGTAATAATACCGTAGATATAATTTATAAAAATGAAATTGCATGCAGTCAATAGAAGTAAAACATTATGGAATTCTTACATCAAGCACCAAATTTGTATTCGTTAAATTGAATTAATCAATACCATGCTTTGTTATTTTGACAGTAATGTTGTCATACTTAAAATTTAACAATGCAATGATGTGATAGCAAAATTTCAGGATAACATAGTAAATACTCCAATTTTCTATTGAGTCAATTCCCTAAATAGGACTAAAAAGTGGCAAAATTGCACAAATAGGACTACATTTTTTAAATTCCCTTAATAGGACTATTTATGTGTGTTTGGACAAATATACCCTTGTAACTTGTGAAATGTTTTAATTAATAATAAAATCATAAAAAATTAATAAAAATCGAAAAAAATACTAAAAATCGTAAAACAATAATAGAAAATTAATAAAAATATTTTAAAAAAAAAATTATAAAAATTAAAAACAAATTAAAAAAAATCGTAAAATTAAAAAACAAAAAAAACATTACCACCCCTGCCACCCCCAGCACCACCAGCTCCCATCACCGGAGAAAAATATGCCATAATGATGGCATATTCAATGAAAATGTTGGCATATTGAAGAATAATTATGCCATCTTTTTGGCATTTTCAGAATAAGATGGCCACTTTTTACCAAAAGTGGAAGAAATTTCACCAATCGGAGGTGGTGGTGTTTGGAGGCGGTGGGAAAGGTATCCATAATTTTTTTCATTTTTTATGGGTTTTTACTATTTTTTATTATTTAAAAAAAAATAAAAAATTAAAAATTTAAATTTTTTATTTTATAAATGTTTTATAAATTTTTTATAATTTTTTTACGTTTTTTAAATATTTTTTACGTTTTTATGATTTTATTATGAATTAAAGCATTTCATTATGAATTAATACTCTTAGGGGTATTTAGGGTAGAAAATCAATGTTTTGTCCTATTTAGAGAATTTAAAAAGTAGTAGTCCTATTTGTGCTTTTTAGGAACTCATTAGTCCTATTTAGGACCATTTCCGTTTTCTATTCTTACGTTACTATACGTTGTTTTACATTTTTTTTTTGAAAAATTTTCCATTTGAAAATGATTAGACTTACTCCATTTTATAAAAAATGACTAAATGAGAGATTAATCTTAGAATGTTTTCATTCGAACTAAGTTTAATATAGAACCGATTAGAAGGAATATACTAATATTTCTGTAGAATTGTAGAGACTTAAACTGTACCAAACTTAAACAAATGATCACAATCCAACTAAAATATAGAGTAAGAGCAAACCAACCCAACCAATTTAAATCAAACAAATAACCTCGGGTCCAAATTAAAAGGGCTTCATATGCATTTGATTTTGGCGTCTATTTGTTACTCACTTTTAATTTTCTTCTCAATTTTGATGTCAAATACGTAACTAATTTATATTGACACATTGTATTGTATATTACTTGCAATACGAGAGGATGAAAATATGAAATTACTTTGATCGAAAGTTTTGCATATAACTATTTTTGCTACTTTTTTTATATACACTATTTATTGCTATATAAATAAAATTATTTTAAAGATTATTTTTTATTGCTTCAACGGATTCAATCAACTCATTTTTTTAAATCAATATTCCCTCCGTTCCATTGGACTTTGTCAACTTTCCTTTTTCTGTTGTCCCAAAAAACTTTACCATTTTCTTATTAAGCAACTAATTTGGAGTTCTGCACATTTCTCTCTCCTCTGCACAAATCTCAATCACACACTTTTTACTATTCTTATATTTCACCTGCTTTGCACTTTACAAAGTGCACCAAAACTAAATTAGTACTACGTATTTCATATCAATCCATCGCATTTGAGTACTATGAAGCTCTCGACACTATAATAAAATCTTAACCAAGTAGCACAACTAGTTTGTATCATCCTATATTCCTATGTTTCTTTTTTACTGCAACATGAAAAATTAATAATCACTATCACATATTCTAGTTTGATTACATGCTAGTCCCTCCGTCCCATTAAAATTGTCTCATTTTACGTTTTCAGAAAATTTCACTAAGATTGTCTCATATCATATTTGGTAAAGTTTGTGTACCTCTAAATCATTCTTACTTTATTTTTTACTTTATCAATTTAATATCAACCACATTAATTCATTATCTCATTTTTGAATATTTTTTATTAATATAGAATTAAATATAATAAAAATTAAAGTTGTCATTTGCAAGCTTAAAAATGTGATGGTTTTAATTTAAAAAGCAAGTGAGGAATTTATAAATAGGAGTACCACGTACTTCGTAAATGATACTTCCTCTGTCCCCTAAGTTTGTCACGTTTTACTTTTTTCGTTCGTCCTACTAAGTTTGTCTCATATTATATTTGGTAATATTTGAGTGGTTGAAATTCATTCTTACTTTATTCATATTTTATCAATTCAATATTAATCACACAATTCTACTTTTTCTTAAAAACCACACCACAACCTTTGTCCCAAATTTAGAGGAAAGGAGCTGCTAAGTGACATGTCTTGTAATCTCCACTTCCACTGATAAATACCCACCACCATTTCTCCTGACCACTCATTCTCACCCTTCTTTTCCTTGTCCTCTGCTTTATTTATTATCCCCATACTTATTTTAAAATACTTCATTAATTATTATTGCTCGGATATTTAGCCATGGCTAAGGAAGTTGAAGCCGTGCCGGAGCAGCCAGCCGGATTCTCCGCAAAGGACTACCATGACCCGCCGCCGACTCCACTGATCGACTTAGACGAGCTGACCAAGTGGTCCTTTTACAGAGCCATCATCGCCGAGTTCATCGCCACACTCCTCTTCCTCTACGTCACCGTCTTAACCGTCATCGGCCACAGCCGGAGCATCGACATCAATGCCGGCGGCGAAGAGTGCGGCGGCGTTGGAACACTCGGCATCGCCTGGGCCTTTGGTGGCATGATCTTCATCCTCGTCTACTGCACCGCCGGAATTTCAGGTCAAATTTCACACACAACTCCATAATCAGTAATCACTTCATATTATAGAAATTGAGGGGCAAATAAGGCTAAAACATTTTGGAGTATCTATATTTTGTTCTAAAAAAGGACTGGACTGGTTGAATTGGATACTATTTAAAGCACATTTTTTTCAATTATACTAGTATGATTTTGTGCACCCTATTTGTGTTTAAAAACATTTTATCTATATTTGACTTTCCAATTGAGGAATTTTCTCTCTATATTAAGGTTATACAGAGTACGATTCTCTTAGCTACTTGAATTTGGTATGGTAAAAATATTATATTTGGTCAAGATACCCTTGAGATTATTGTTTGTTACAGCATAATAGTCTTGAAGTTTGTGTCATCTTTTACATTGGACTATCAATATTTGTATATAGGAATTAAGATGTTTTCTTGTGGACTGAAATTTGCTGGTCTGGTCTGGTAAACGTTTGGTCTCTGTGTATTTTATAACTACGGAAGTCTAATCTGGTCTGGTGTGCTTAAGTCTAGTCTGGTCTGATATGGTCTGTTTAAGTCTGGTCTGGTATGAGACTGAAAACAATCTAAAAGAAAACATCCTTAGTGAATTACACCGCACTACGTATTACTCTTAATATTTTTTTTTGGATGAGTATTACTCTTAATATAAGTAGCCCTATTTTAATAGGGAGTATGAAGTTATATTAAAGATGTGTATAGAAACATTCCAAAATAGACCCTCATAGTACTGGTGTTCCTCGAGGACTTTTATTGAGATTAAGACAACACTAAAATATCAGTAAATAGCTTCTAAAAATAGTAAACAATAATTCTTCTACTTATGAACTTTCGAAAAAATCTTGCAAAAGAATATTGAGGATTCATAATTGAAGAAACTTAATCGAGGAAAATTCTTATGAGACCGGCCTGACGGGAACCCGTCGTCAACTCGAGACCATTTGGGGTCCTTCTTGATAGAATTTTTTGATGAATTTTTTTGAGCATGTTTTTCATCAAGTGTAGATTATCTCCAGAAAATTTCAACTTCTAATTCAACCTGGAAGTCAGTTACATAAAATACTAAAAACATATTGCGCTTTATGTATATAAATAATGTGTAATATATTTCAATATAGTAGTTAACTGACTTCCGGATTGAACTTGTAATTGAAATTTGCTTGTCATAAATTTCAGTTGATACAGAATATCCTCAAAAAAATTCATCATGGAAAGTTTATTTCAACCCCAAATGACCTCGACCTAACAATGGTCCCGGCCCACCTGATGAGAATGCTACTCAACTTAACTACCTTACTATTTTGGGATGTTTTTTTTATTGATTTCTGAAATTCTTAACATGGTGCCAAAATAAACGGATCCGGCGTCTCTGCCTTGGTTAAGCAGCCAAGGAGGGTGCCTGGCTGTTTTCATCCATTAGATTAAAAAATGAAGGGTTGAAGATGAAGGGCTCCATTTTTTGCACGAATCTCGAGGCCTACTTTTCGATCTGTGCCGTCCATTTGAGTAAGGCACCTCTGCGACGGAATTGACCACCACACCGCAAAATAATTGCACCCACAATACTGTGATAACATTGAAGCCATTCTAATGGTACATCGTATCCCTTTCACGGAAAACAAATATATGCATGCCAGTTATGCGATCATCATTATTAATAAAAATTGATGTATGCCACATAAAACTAGAGTTGATCAGATTTCGAAAATTGATGTATACCAAATAAAAACATCCTTATTTGTAAAGCAGGGCAATGTAAATAAAATAAAATTAGAAGGGGAATGTAAACAAATTTTACAATTTTGAATGTCCACAACATTATGCATTGTGACTATGGTAGATTGAAGTCTAAGTAAAACATAAAATTGTAATGTGAATGATTCTATTTTAATTGGGGTGTAATCACTTTTTGGCTTATCTTAACCCAACTTTCTGGATTCGCCCGGTAAGAATGCTGTGCTGATTGAAACATTCTCGGAACAGGAGGGCACATAAACCCGGCGGTAACATTGGGGCTGTTTTTGGGGAGGAAGGTGTCGCTGATAAGGGCGGTGTTGTACATGGCGGCTCAGTGTTTGGGAGCGATCTGCGGAGTGGGATTGGTGAAGGGCTTCCACAAGGCTTATTACGACCGTTACGGCGGAGGGGCGAATATGTTGCAACCTGGATACAACATAGGTACTGGTTTGGGTGCAGAGATAATTGGTACTTTCGTCTTGGTCTACACCGTCTTCTCTGCCACTGACCCAAAGAGGAATGCCAGAGATTCTCATATTCCCGTAAGTACAAAAACCAATTTATTCGTCCTACCTACTTACCTTTCATTTCAGTCTGTTTTACTTGTATACTCCAGTATTGTTTTTAGATTAGTAAGGCTGTAAGAGCCCATCCCAAAATATTAAAGACAAAATAGCTAAATTTGTTGATATTCATAAAATATTAACAAAAATAGTTACATAAAAGTTGCGTGTTACGTAAAATATTTAGCTGATAAACCAAATTGATGTTACCAATTTCTTGACCTCATTATAACAGCTCAAAAACAAAAACACCAATCAAATACGGAGTAGATTCATCACAAATGATAACTCGATGAAGAGTGTATTATTAAATTTTCATTATTACTTTTAGAGAAACATACATTTGCCGAAACACTTTTTGCTATAATACTTCCACACATCTTTCAAATTAAAGCGTTATATTTGTGTCCATGAAAGCAAAAAGATTCAACTTTACGTCCTTATAAACAATAGGGAAATTGTCCTAAATTGAAATTCTATTTTGATAGTTATGTTTTTTAATCGTTATTGTCACGACACAAAAATACCAACATCGATGGCAATAAATATTGTCACAATAACAATAAATATTGTTATATTACTCAATAAATATTTCTGTTTTAGAATTTAAAATTTTGATTGCTTTTGTTTCAAGAACTTAAGAAGTATTGTCACATATTCACAATGGTAACTACTCTGATATAAGTGGAATATGATATACGGAGTAAAAAATATGGGATGCTACACATTTGTTGTAGACACTGTCTAGTATTCTATGTACATAAGAGCTTCTGAACGAGGTGCGTGTGTACACATGTAACTAAGATGTGTACAATAAAAGTGTAAAAATTATGTGTACAAATGATTTTTGTCACAAAAAATTACTCCCCATGTCCCTTAAAACTTTGCCAAGTTTGACCGACGCAGAGATTAATAAACTTAAAACTGTGGGGTGAAGGTTTGTGTAGAGGAAAAAGAATTAACTGGAAACACAAATTCTTTACTTGTGGAGAGAGAATTAACTGGAAAATGTCAAAGTTAGTGGGACATTCAAAAATGGAAAGTTGGCAAAGTTTTAAGGGACGAAGGGAGTACCATATAATTGACGGCCAAGGATAAAAGTTGTAACTTTTTAAGCACACAATTTTAAGAGTATCTTTTAATTTTCCAACTAGATACGGAGTAAAAAATAGAATATTATTTGAAATAAGACTAAAAATGTTTGGAAATTCGAAAATAGGATTGTCATGTTTTTATTCCCAAAACAGGACTAATTATTGTCATGTTTTGGCAGTACCAGACTTTAAACATGGCAGTATTTTTCAAAGTTGGCAGTAATTACTCATATTTTAAGAATAAAAATTATGACAGTCCTATTTTGAAATTTTCAAACTGTTTTAATTTTATTTGGGAACTTTCCCTAAAAAATGTAAAAGTATTGAGACAGAGGGTAATAAACTTTAGTCATATTTTATATAGATTGATAAAGTTTAGCATCATCTAGACATGTGCTTAGGTGGGCATAGTCAACGCCTAGACCAACGTGCATTCAAGGGGCGTCCCCCAAGGCAAAATAAGGCTGAAATTTTTATGGTTTTTTGAAATTGTGAAAGTGGTCTAGAGGTATCAAACGTAGCTGTCCACGTATCAATTGGTCTCTTGTCGCTATTACCCACGCGAATATTTTTTTGAATTAGTGAACCAATAAGGACGTGAACAATAATTAATTAATCAAATAATTATTCTCAATTGGTAGTTGGTATAAGGAACAAAGAATGTTAATTAATTAATGATGGTGGTGATTAATTAACACCATACACATGCACGCTGAGATTATTGAATATTGATTGATTGATTGATTGGTGAAGGTGTTGGCCCCACTTCCGATTGGGTTCGCTGTGTTTATGGTCCACCTGGCCACGATCCCCATAACCGGAACGGGCATAAACCCGGCAAGGAGTCTTGGAGCAGCAGTGATTTACAACAAAGACAAGGCCTGGGATGACCAGTGGATTTTCTGGGTGGGCCCCTTCGTCGGCGCTGCCGTCGCCGCCATCTACCACCAGTTCATCCTTAGAGCCGCCGCCATCAAGGCTCTCGGCTCCTTTAGGAGCAACGCCTCATAAACGGGCCCATTTATGGATCATTATTATTGTCCCACATTGAATATTTATTTACTGCTTCGTTTGGATGTATTGAAGTGTATTTCCATTTCTGTGTATTATTAATTACTCGATTAACTTATTATCTTATGGTTGGATTACTTAATCTAGTAGGGGTCTTTTTCGGGTTCGCCTCTTGATTGGGTTGCACTGTTGTATGTGGTGGGTGGGGGCCACTGATGATGAACCATAATTAACTTTGCATTTGTTTTCTAAAACTAGTGGCCTGACCGGGTTCGTCGATAATTGGATTCGTGTTCAATATGATGTGGAAATTATCAAAGATGCTGTTTGAAAGTTTTGCGAGCCTTGGGCGACTAAGAGCTGGTTTTGGTAATCTTTACCAATAAGAATACTAAAATACACACCTATGGGCTAAGGAGGTTTTCTTACTGTTTTCAGTCCCAGACCAGACTTAAACAGATCAGACCAGACTTAAACGGTCAGACCAGTCCAGACTTAAACAGACCAGACCAGACCAGACTTCCGTAGTTATAAAATACACAGAGACCGGACGTTTACCAGATCAGACCAGACTTAAACAGACCAGATCAGGCTAGACCAAACTTAAATAGACCAGACTAGATCAGCAAATTTCAGTCCAAAAGAAAACATCCTAAAACAAACATTTATCGAACTTGACCAATTTAGGCCTAGACTCGGGCCGGGCGGCCCGAGTCCGGCCGGTTCCGGGCCTCCCCTTTCATGAACCGAGGCCCGGCCGGGCCCAGGCCCGAACCGGCCCGAGTGCATAGACCAATTCATATAAGAGAAGACTATGCCAAATCAAATTTAATAAATCAGACTATACTCGATGATATCAAAACAAGCAGAATAGAATTTTTTTAGCCCAATTAGAAACATCCCTAATGAGATTGAACATACAAGTGCATTTGTCAGTCTAAATTATTAAAAAAAATCAGTTTTTTTTATTCGGTAACTAAATTTCTTACGTACGGAGTAGTATTTAGGTAATATGTGTATATACATAATTAATTAAACCACAAAGGGATTTGAGACATATTCTAATACGGAGTATTACATTGAGTTTATGAGTCTGTTTGGTAACACTGAAATCGGCTGATTCTGGCTCAAATCTATGAAATTGACAGATTCTGTTGATTTATAAAAAAAAAATTAAAATATATTTTATTAATAAAAAAAGAACAAATTATATAAAATATAGCAAAAATGATTATCTATAGTAATTTCAACAAATACTGTCAGAAAAGTAACTCCGGCATTCAGTTTTTTTTTTATTATTACACAGTACGGCGCGCGAAATCAAAGTTACATGTCTAATAAAAAAATTAGTCATAAAACGAATAATAAAATTAGTCATAAAACGAATAATAGCATCAAACGGCCTTTATATAAAACCAAAGTTTTTGCCACATTAAAATTTGAAACAGCAGTTCTGAATGAGAATAATCCGTTTATCATAATTCAAGAGATGACAAAATAGATTTGTCATCATAGGACAAAAACTTCACCATCGTTTTCATAATATTCCAACAATAAAATTCATAGGGATCGAATATAATAATGATTAGTGATGGCAACGGGGCGGTTCGGGGACGGTTTTACATATAACTGTACCCGCCCCATTTGATAATTCCCTGACCCATAACCGCCCCATTACCCAACGGGTATTTTTTCCCCAAACCGTATCCGCCCCAACGGGTAACGGGTATAACCACGGATAACCGCAGGTAATCGCTTTATTAAATGAGTGATTGATATTTTAATATAAAAATAATATTTTAAAAGGCAAAAAATGGCATCACCTAGATGACTCTAGACTGAGACGCCACTTTAAAGTTTCGTATATCTACAAGACGAGAAAGAAGACAACATAAATTAATTTGAACTTAAAAATACTTAATCTGAAAAATAATTATTCACTAAAAAATATGATAATAATCAAACAAGACTATTAAGATCTATTATGAATTCTCATTGAACATTATAGTTAGTACATCTATTATCCATATACTTAATGAAAATAGAGAAAATCTCATCTTCATTTACTTAGGGGACAAATAATAGATAAAAATGTAATAAAAATATAACTAAAATAAACGGGGTGGGTACGGGGCAGGTAATGGGGCGGACATGTATAAAACCGTAACCGCCCCGTTACCCGTAAAAACAAAACGGGTATTCCCCGCCCCATACCCGTTACCCGGTCAATGCGGTTTTCCCCGTTTTGACCGGGGCGGTTCGGTTCGGGTATCTATTGGATCGGTCACAATTGCCATCTCTAATAATGATTGTTATATTGTCGGCCCATGTAACTAATCGGATTGCAATTGATCCATTTAAAACGTTATGAGTGGCTCTTACAGTACAATATTATTATGCTTTCTCTTTATTCTTTTCAAGTTAAATTTAGATTTTTTAAAAAAAAAATTAATGAAGGTATTGGCATAATAAAAGAGCTTACACAGAAGATACATCAGTAACATAAAGCCATCTATCTACACTCATCATTCATAGCTCATCCACACGTGGAAGAAGTGAAATGCAGCTCATGTATAAATAAATATAGGTGTGGAAAAAACCGAACCGAAACCCGGAAACCGGCCCTGGACCGACCTGAATTATGATCCCGGTCCGGGTTTTTTCTTTTAACCCGGTCCAAATTAAAAAAAAAACCCGAACCGAACCGAAAATTCCGGGCTCATTAACGGGCCTTAAAATCTATAACCGGCCCGGACCGAAAAAACCCGAAACAATTAGTTTTAATATAAAATTAATATAGTATATGAATATAAATAAAATATTTCCTAATATATGATTATAATCACAGTGGATAAAAAAGATTTAGTAACTTTTAGCGACTACAAATATGTTGAATTTGTTTAGCGTAATGATGACCATAAGAATATATTTATAGCAACTCTAGTAACTTTTTGATTTATAAAATTTATTTCGTAATATTTTTAAGAAACCTATATTATTTATATATATACATCTTACATAAAATATTGAGATAATTATCTTCTTTAAATTTGAATTGTTGGTGATTTTGGAGACTATTATTTGTGTTATTAATTTGCAGTTGTATTTTTGATTAATTTTATTTGAAAATAAGTGTTAAAATATAAAAGAATAATGACATATTTCATGACCGGGCTTTAACCGGTCCAACCCGAATCCGGACCGAACCCGGGCTACCAAAAACCCGACTCGGACCGAATATAACGGGCTTTGTTCCGGTCCCTAATTTTCATAACCCGAGACCTTCCGGGTAATTTCCGGGTTTAGCAAAAAACCGACCCAGACCGGACCGATCCCACCCCTACATAAATATAGAAGCCAGTAGAAGAAACTAGAAGCCTCTTAGTTAGTTATTCTTGTTACAAGATTAGTTAAGATATTCTTCTTGTGCTCACTATATATAGACATCTCTTGTACATTCATTGAGTAGTGCAGAAATATTATGAAAATTTCCTTCAGTTCTTTCTCTACTTTTGTATGAAGCATAGCTTCCGTTTTGCCTTCATGATCTGTATCTCTGAATTCCACATGGTATCAGAGAATATTTCACCATAATTCTTCATCTCAACTCAGTTTAATCTTTATCGTCATCATAATGTCGAGACCTGCAAGTGAAGATATCACAAGTCCATTCTATATTAGATCAGGAGACAATCCAAACACTGTTCTTGTCAGTCCCCAATTGAATGGAAACAATTTCCATTCATGGAGTAAGTCGATGAAAATCGCGCTTGGAGCCAAGAATAAAATGAAATTTGTCAACGGAACTATCGCTAAACCTAATAAAACAGACGAAACCTTCGAGATTTGGGAGAGAAGTGATCTGATGGTACAATCCTGGATTTTGAATTCATGCACTAAAGAAATTGCGCAATGCATCCTCTATGAGGAATCTGCGGCTAAGATGTGGAACACGTTGAATGAGAGATTTTCTCAAGGTAATTTGCCTCGAATCTTTGATTTGCAGAAACAGATTTACGCTTTGTGATATGCACTAGTTTATAGTGCATAAGTGTATGTTTTTATATTGATCTTGTGTGGACTTTCCATCACTTTTAGTTAGTTTGTAAGTATTTGTTTTATTTTAGTTGTAATTGTTTTTACCTTCTATTTCTAGCTATAGAATAGTGATAGAGTTTTTAGCAAGCAAAAGGGAAGAAAAGCTGAAGACAAAAATGCTCAGGAACACAAACCCGACCGGGTCAGACCTTGAACCCGGTCGGGTCAGGATCTAAGAGGAAAGAGTACGACCCGGTCGGGTCCCTTACTCGACCCGGTCGGGTCAGATTTGACCCGGAGCACCAGAACATGCTGCAGATCACAAAGATTTGGAAAAGATTTGATTTTGGTCAAACCCGGTCGGGTCCCTTACTTGACCCGGTCGGGTCTGACTTGACCCGGACAATTTAACGTGCTGAAAACACAAAAACGTGGGAGATAATCTGATTTTGACCGGTACCCGGTCGGGTATGTACCTATACCCGGTCGGGTACCCGGCCAAAGGTGTTGAAAAACACCTATAAATAGCACACTTTTTCTTCACAAAAAATCATCCCTTCTTCCATATACTTAAGCTCAGTTTAGAATAGCATTTCTTTATATTTCTTTTAGCATGTTTAGTCTCCAAATGAGGAGCTAAACTTCCAATTCTTGGTTTTGCTCTTGAAGCTTGTTGATTATTAGAGTTGTGAGTTATTTTCTTACTTTCTCCTCTTGATTATTAATTCTTCCCTTAATCTCATTCTATATTAATGTTAGAGGGTGGCTAAGTGACGATTAGTTAACGTTCCGACATTGATTATTACTAGAAACGATCAACGAACCGATGGTTAAACGTTGATGGTTTCACAAGTAAGTAACTTTGGTTTATTAATGCACGGTTGTGATTAATAAACTTAAGAGGGATTAATTTTGTTGGTTAAACCGAAACCGTTGTGTTGAGGTTATCAATCTTAATTGATTTCATCTAGGAGTCAAAGAGGTTAAATGCTACTATTATATCGGTATACGGCGTTGTTCTATATTTGATTAATAGTAAGGGTTATTAATGAACGGTCGTTGTTAATAACTACCCTCGATGAATTGGAGATACTCCGCGATTGAGTATTCGAGAGGGGATAAGTTATGGATATAACAATGATCGACTAAAATATATCAATAAGTGGAAAGTAGCAAGACCAAGTCCCTTTTATTCTTGAATTTAATCCTATATAACTCGTTCATCTTCGTGTTCAATTTAATTAAATCACTCAACAATCAAAACCCCCCTTTTTATTTACTATTTACATAAAAAGAAAGTTATTCCT